GTAAATAAAAATAAAAAAGTCCCGACATGTTTCCCAGTAAAAGAAATACATTTGTTTTTATATATGTAGAAATTTATTTTATGTTCCAAATGTAGCATTTAAATTATGTTTTAATGCCATACCAGACATTTAATGCCATGGCTTTAATCATGGAAAAGACTATACTAATTATAGAATATTTAACATGCAATCATATCGGTATCTTAAAAAACATAAATTATAAAAATAATAAATAAAAAAACACTGAAATGAGTCAATATTTTTGTTTGATTAATGACAAATATTCAAAAAATCCCTCCAGAAGACCCCTTTTTAAGCATTCCCCTTAAAATAGGAAATAGGTAAATAATCAAACTCACCCTGATCACTGTCAAGTACCTCCTCTGCCACACCGACCCCCTGACAACTCATACCATGATGTGGGAAGCTTAACTCCATTATGCAGCCATATTTCAAAAGCACACCCTGGTCGCCTGTTTCTTCTTGGCATCCAGCATCTACACAGTTAGAGAGATCCTTCAACTGTTGAAATAATAAAAAATAGGTTTGTGAACTATCCTGAATACATGCACACTTAGCCAAAAATGAAAAGTCTATTCAATGCTTACAGTGACAATGCGAGTAGTCCAGCCACCAAAGCCCAGATAGTGATTGGCAAGGTTGTGACATTTGGATAGGCAGAGAGGTTTACTGCTATAGAAGGACAGATTCTGTTTTGTGCTCAGTCGGACCTAAGGAGTTGGTTGAAAGATAATTACAAAAAAAGATGATAATTAAAAAAATCCTAACCTTCACATTATAGCTTTATCAGTTGCTGTTATGAGTTAACCCTTGTGCACTGTTCAAAATTACTATCATGTGTTATGTTCGGAATGCAAACATCCACTAAATAAAACTGCTGTAAAATGCATCAGATAAATATCTTTTACATTTTTTGCACAAATCTGTTAATCAGCCTCAGTTTTCACCAAAACTACAAAATGTTTTTAAAAAATTACAGGATTTTAGCATTTTTAATTGCCAAGTTCACAAATGATGTCACTGATTTGGTGAGAAAAAAAAACACACACAAAATTACATATTTTCAATATAAAATGTAATTGTGGACTGGATTTTTTAAAAACCTTTTATTAGTCTTGAACATGTGAATGATTACTAACAACATTGGCATTGATGCATTGTTAGATTCTCACTTTTCTCCCTAATTTACTGTTGGTGGCTGTCTTTGCCCTATTGACTTCCATTATAACCACATTTGATGTTGCATAAATACACAGTCTTTGTTTTCGTTTATTCCATGTAGTTCTGATAGCAGAGGTGCATTTTTTGATTTTCTCAGACACATCAAGATAAGGGCACAAAGGTCACTCTCACACTCACGTTAATTATGTTTTACTCCATATAAAATCTAGAACTAAGCTTTTTTTTTTTTGCACATGCTTATCTAAAGTGTTAACTGATGATTAACAGTAAAAAATTACAAATTTTACTTCTTTCTATTAGGGAAAACCACAAACAATAAAAAAAATGCATGATTATATGGTGTCATGGTTTTGTAATCAAAAGAAATGTAGTTACACTGGAAGCCAATGGGGCAAAAACAGCCATTAACAGTAAATAAGGGAGAAGAAATGAAAAGCAATCAAAAACAATGCATCGAAGGCAATGTTGTTTCACATATCCAAGACTGTGATAAAAGGTAAAAAAAACAGTTCACAATTACTTTTTTTCTCTGAAAAATTTTCATTTTATGTGTGTTTTTTCACCAAATCAGTGTTATAATTTATAAATTTGGCAATTAGAGTTAAAATCCTGTAATTTTCTAAGCAATCTAGTAGCTTTGATCAGGACTGGAGTTGATTAACAGATTTATTTAAAAAGATTTGAAACAAAATATCTGATGCATTTTTTCAACAGTTTAATTTAGTGGATGTTTTCATCCCTAAATAACAAAAGGGTAGCAAATTTGCCCATTGTATCGTTTAGTTCTTTAAAAAAAAAAGCCAAAGTATTCTCTCAAAATGTGTCTAAATAATGTCACCAAAAACCATTCTGCTAGCTGAAGCACAAAAATTAAGACTCAAAATCAATGAAAACATCCCCAACAGTACATAAATGTTTAGCTACCTTTAAAGGAGAGCTCTGAAAAAGACACTGTTTATCAGTGGCCCGCTGTGCTTTAGATGCCTGTGCTGATGAGTAAAACTTCACCAAGGCGTAAAACCCAGGTTCAGCCACCGTGGCATTGGGACACACTTTCAGCAGGTAAAGATCTCCAAATGCCGAATACACGCTCCACAGGGACTCCTGGAAGGGATACCGTGCGTAAATTAATATCTGAAGTAACTAAGTTTACAGTTGGCCACATGTATGCTATTAGTGAACACTTTGCAATAAACTACATAAATATCCAAAAGCTGAGATATTTGGGAGTTGTTGCTCAAAAAAATAAACCATTTGTAAATATTTATGCAACAGTTATACAAAACCAGTCATCATGAGCAGAGCAGGTGACTGAATAATAACATTAGTCCTTCAAAAGGTAATAATGTAATATAATATAATATAATATAATATAATATAATATAATATAATATAATATAATATAATATAATATAATATGAAACTTACATAAATATAGGCCTCTGTAAATGTAGGCTGAATATCCCAAATAAAAATAGTTTTGTTGTTTTCGAGTGGGACTTTGAACTCAATTATATCGACTTCAATATCCATCGAGATATGGCTTTTTAAATGAAGCTACCACTTGACCACTGTGTGGTTAACTAATTAAGCGTTTGGTTGGATTTTAAAAGCTGTTTAACGTATGAGAACCACCAGTCCACACTTCTTCACGGCTCCCCTCTACGACTTCCGTAAACAGAATCGCATTTCGCGCACTTAAGACGTCATGCCACGTGACGCGCTGGGATTGGATTAGCATGACCAAAAAAGGATCAGTAGGAGTACTGTGAATTAGCCTTATCCCATGTTTCATTGTTACTAGATGTACAATATGTTTAATTTGCATTCAGGTCACACAATGTTAGCACAATTTAATGTTTTATGTATCCCCTGTAACTTATGTTAATAAAAATAAATGAAAAAGGAGTGATATGAATTGGAATTTCCGCATTTTTAAAACATAGGAACGTTCTAAATTATAAAATAGTTAAGAATAGTACAGAACAGGATTTATAAACTTTTTTATGTAATCTTGTTCGTTTTGGAATAAATAGACATGCAGCTTTACAATAATAATGCTATTGAAAGTTCAGAAAGGCGCTTTTGGAAGCATTTTAATTCATTCTTGTCCCTTTATTAATGTGGTCACCACAGCGGAAAGAACCGCTAACTTATCCAGCATATGTTTTACGCAACCTTCCAGCTGCAACCTATCCTTGGGAAACATCCATACACACTCATTCCCACAACGACTACACTACGTACAATTTGGAAAAACTGGAGCACCCGGAGGAAACCCACGCGAACACGAGGAGAACATCTCCACACAGAAATGCCAACTGACCCAGACGAGGCGCGAACCAGCGACCTGTATACCCACTGCGCCTATATGCATTTTTGTTTATTAAATTAATGTAATCCAGGTTATTGTAGTACTTATTTTTTATGCAATTGCATCCCCAATACATTTAACAGTGCACCACAGTCGTGTTTTTATATGACAATGTTTCAGCTACGGTTTGCTGTGTGCTTTTTTTGGTCCATTTTCTCAACTCGTACTTTTCACTGACATGGACAATTTTTTTTTACCACTGATGAAAACTACTAATATATATTTGATTTAAGGGGGATTTACCCTTTAAATAACAGATTGTTTACATTATGTCACTGTTGTTTATACAAAATAATTTTTAAAAAGTTAATTGCCACATATCCAATGTGTGGATATAAGACATACAACCTCTCTTTTCATCCTGATGATCCCTCGGTTCCAGCTCGCATCTCAGCCTGCCTGTTGGATATTTCACACTGGATGAAAGATCATCATCTTCAGCTGAACCTCGCAAAAACGGAAATGCTTGTAGTTTCTGCCAACTCGACTCTACACCATAACTTTTCAATCCAGATGGATGGGGCAACCATTACTGCATCCAAAATGGTGAAAAGCCTTGGAGTAACGATTGATGACCAACTAAACTTCTCTGACCACATTTCTAGAACTGCTCGATCGTGCAGATTCGCACTCTATAACATCAGAAAGATCCAACCCTTCTTATCTGAACATGCAGCCCAACTCCTTGTTTAAGCTCTTGTTCTCTCCAAACTGGATTACTGCATCTCTCTACTAGCTGGGCTTCCAGCTAACTCTATCAAGCCTCTTCAACTGCTCCAGAACGCAGCAGCACGAGTGGTCTTCAATGAACCTAAACGAGCACATGTCACTCCGCTGCTAGTCCGTTTGCACTGGCTGCCAGTTGCTGCTCGCATCAAATTCAAAGCCCTGATGTTTGCCTACAAAGTGACTTCTGGCCTTGCTCCTTCTTATCTGCTCTCACTTCTGCAGATCTATGTGCCCTCCAGAAACTTGCGTTCTGTGAATGAACGTCGCCTCGTGGTTCCATCCCAAAGAGGGAAGAAATCACTTTCGCGAACGCTCACGCTCAATCTGCCCAGTTGGTGGAATGAACTCCCTAACTGCATCAGAACAGCAGAGTCACTCGCTATTTTCAAGAAACGACTAAAAACTCAACTATTTAGTCTCCACTTCACTTCCTAATCTGCAATTGCCTCTCTGAATATCACACTAACTGTACCCAAAAAAATAAAAAAATAAAATAATACTACTAATGCTTTCCTTCTTAGACTTTACAGACCTGAAACTTGCCTATAGCACTTATTCATTGTTGGTCTTTTAGTTGTGTAAATTGCTTCCTTGTCCTCATTTGTAAGTTGCTTTGGATAAAAGCGTCTGCTAAATGACTAAATGTAAATGTAACTGACACAAACATGTTATACAGAACAGAAGACACACTGAATGCATTTTAAAACTTTAATTGATACAGTTAGAATAGAACAGGATGAGTTGATAATATTAAGGCAAGAATCTATCAGACAGACACGTTTCCATTCACACATTTGGGAGTGAACCCTTTGAACACTGATCTTTAACTGTTTTAGATATAATATACACCAAAGCACAATATTAGCACTTTGATTTAAGTCAATTTTGGCACATTTAAGAAAATATCGCCAGAAATTGCTAAGCACCACTGTGAATAAGGTTCGGATATTAAATAAGAATCAATATTTACGTTTTTAAGGAACATCTTGAAATGATAATACTTCCCAATAAGAAGAATAAATACAATGGTGGTAGGTGTAAGGTTTATGGAAGGGAAATAAAGTACAGATCCAGCCATGCCTGCTTGATATTTCCTGCATATATAGGACCAGATAATAATTAGTTTATGTTTTGATAATGCAAACTGGTCTTAGATTTGCAGAAAAGGATAAAGCAGGCTTTGACTAGCAATACATTAGCGCCCTCTACAGGGTACAGTTGGAATCCAGAGATCTCCTGCAATTCGCAACCCTCAGGTAAGTTTCCACCTTGTGCATGTCCTTCTTGAAGCAGGCCAGCAGGCGAAAGCTCTCTCTGAGACTGGTCTCCCCTACGGTCAGGTAGAAATCCTCAAAAGGCAACGGCAGGGAGTCGTTGTCATCCATATTTGGCTGTCCATCGAGACATCCCTGTGCAAAATCAAATGCCAAAGGATGTCAGGGAAATATACAAAGACTTAATCATATTGCACATGGAAATACTCAGAAGTGTAAAAATTAAAACCTTTGTGACAAAAATAAATAAATAAAATTTAGGACAGCACGGTGGCGTAGTGGGTAGCACAATGCCCTTACAGCAAGAGGGTTGCTGGTTCGAGCCCCGACTGGGTCAATTGGCAATTCTGAGTGGAGTTTGTACGTACGTACATAATATACATATTTTTTTTTGCACAAGGGTGTTTAAGCTTAATAAGTTTAGAACCAAACCAACCACTTACAAGGTGTATTATGTATTACATATGATACTATATAATATATATAATTAATTACACATAATAAGTGTTATCAATATTACAGTATTTTGAGAGAGGAGTCTACACATAGCTTTTGGGTTCTATTTAACTAGCTATCTATACAACATTATAACTAATTAGTTTTTTTCCCTCATGGATTCCATTATAAACACAGTTATAATAAGTTGAATTGATGCAAACAGAAGGGTTTAACAAACAAGTCTATTTCCTCTTTGAAGAAAAAGAATATGGATGGAGAAAAACCTTAGCTTGACAGTAGCTCAGCTACAATGTAGATGTTATCAGCTCAGCTATTTATGATACAATGTAGCCATTCCAGTAGCTACAGTATCTACATTTTATTTTGTTACTGCTACATTTGTTGCACTTTGACTCTTGACACCCTGAGAATTTTGAAAGCTGTGTAATAGAACATTGAGCTTTGACCTTATAATTGTATTTCAGTTTTAAGTACCAAATATTTAACTTAAAAAGAACGATTATGCTTTTGTAATTGTGTGAAATAAATGAGGAGATTTGGTGTAACTAGCTACTTTTAGGAAGTACCTTGTAACCTACGTTTATTTATTTTTTTATTCATTTATTTTTAAGTGTAGCTCAACAGTAGCTTAACTACCTTTCGAGATGAGGTTTAGGTTATCAACCAACTGTTTTATACGTTTTAACACTTTAAGGAGCTAATCAGCAATTGGTAAAGTCAAATCAGCGCCCATTAAAAACAGCATTTAGGATTACCTTTGTGTACTGGCCTGAAATACAGATTTCTAAACACATTTAGGTCAGATTAACATTATTCCATATATGATTTAATTGTGAGTTCTTAGTTTGTTAGATTCCGCTATTCTCCATTGAAACAGAAATGACTTGCTCTTGTGAGCCCAAAATAGTTGTCCTGAGGTGATGCAGATATGGCTGCTGTGAGTGACCAAACTCTCCTTGAAAGTAACTTTAATGCGATTATTTGGAGAGAAATGTTTTGAGTTTTTCCAAGTAACTGATTCCCAAAATGATTAATTGTTTTGCAATGTTCAAATCATTGGCAACTTTGCATGAGTTATTGGAAATCATCACCCCCAGGTGGTGACATGACATTGGCAGTTTAAATGGATGAACACAAATCAGCTTTGAGCAAGTAAGCTTGCACAGTACGCTTCACCTTGATGAGCACGCTGATGCCCATTTTCAGGTCCGCCAGTTTCTCAGTGATTTGGTTGGGGTTTCCGATGGTCAGGCTGTTTGAGATAGTGGAGCTCAAGGTCTGGCTGGGAAACTCCCAGGATTCAATGAGGCGGAAAGAGATACGAAGCAGCTTCAACATCTGAAAAAAGAGAACATGATTAGGATTAACCACTGTTGATATATATACAGACACACACACAGTTGAAGTCAACAATATTAGCCCCCTTTTAAAAAAAATTCTTTTTTTTTATATTTCCCAAAAGATAAGCAAGGAAATTTTCACAGCATGTCTGATAATATTTTTCTTCTGGAGAAAGTCTTATTTGTTTCATTTTGGCTAGAATAAAAGCAGTTTTAAATTTTTAAAAATCATTTTAAGGTCAAAATTATTACCCCCCCCCCCCTTTTTTTTTTCGATAGTCCATAGCACAAACCATCATTATACAATAACTTGCCTAATTACCCTAACCAGCCTAATTAACCTAGTTAAGCCTTTAAATGTCACTTTAAGCTGTATAGAAGTGTCTTGAAAAATATCAAGTCAAATATTATTTATTATTTAAAACTATTATGTTTAGAAATGTGTTGAAAAAATCTTCTCTTTATGCTGGCAATAATTGGTCTTTAAACACAAAAGTGTTGACTGTGTACAATAATACATTTACAAATGCTCTATTATTAAAAAGGAAATCAATTTAAAATATTTTATAAATCCTTTATATCGATAATTATGAATTGATTGTTTTGACACTTTTTTATTTAGCATGTTTTGCATCTTCAACATGTAAAATAAATTGCAAAAATGTATATGATTTATGAGCAATTTAAGAGCAAAATATAAAATTGAATTGTGTGAAAACAGCAAAAACATTAAAGGCTTGCATGTATGTACTCTAATCTAATGTTGCACTTTGACTGCATGTTGGTTTTAACGGCCAAACATTTCTTTTTCCAATACCTTTCTATTATATTTTAACACGTACATACACATTTCCATGTTCCAGATATAACATAAACTAACAAGCAAACAAATGAACAAACAAAACTAAAGTCTTCTCAGTATTTTACATCAGAATATCACCTCTTTTACTAATCTTCTAGTCAAACATTTCCAACTTCACTAACTTTTAAAAACAACATAAAAGGTCCAAAATCTCTTTACAAAATTATGCATTTATTTCTTAATATACAAGTTATTTTTTCCATTGACATGTTTGTTACCATCTCTTTATATATAATAAACAAATTATAATTTAAATTATACATTTCATTTATATCCCAAGGAGACAAAGTTAAAAAAGACAAAACATATATTTATGAATATATATATATATATATATATATATGTTCATAAATATATGTTCTGTCTTTTTTAACTTTGTCTCCTTGGGATATAAATGAAATAAAAAAAATTAAAGGACACATTGCTATATTAATATCAAGAATCTTTTCTTTTGTTTCACACATTATTTTCAGGTACAATTAACAAACCGTGACTTTTAGCTTAACAAACTCCTAATTTTGTTACCATCAGGTTGATGATATTGTGTCACTGGATGTGATGTGTAAGGAATAGGTCAAAATAATTTATATTAATTTATATAATTCATCCCTCAACCAATAAAGATTTTAAATTCCTCCTCTCTAAGTGGTAGTTGATGCTCAGACTGGATATTTATTTAGATTAGTACCACCTTGGGTTTAAAACGCATCTATTTATATAAATCTCCCCGTTGGTGTATGCTGCAAATTAAACTTTTAAATAAGGGATAAATCTAGTAAACTAACTAACTAACTAACTAACTAACTAACTAACTAACTAACTAACTAACTAACTAACTAACAATTTCCTTTAGATAACTTCAGTAACTTGCTGGCAGCAGTTTGCCAGTTACTTTCTGTAAATCAATTACAGCAAAAGTAGTGTACTTACAAATGCAACACAATTTATCTTGTTTTATACTGTAAGTTTTTACAGAATTGTCTGTATATCTTTACTGTGAAATATACAGTCATTTTCACAATGCGACTTTAAAATACAGCAAAATACAGTTTATATTACAGTTAAATATTATTTACAAAAATTTTAACAAAGTATATAATTTGCTGATCATGAGCAGTTAGTAATGTTGTACTTGGGTTGAGGTATTGGGTTGGATTTGCAGGATCAGATAGTGCAGAATATGTACTTAAAAGTACTAATAAACAGCAACATATTAATAATAGGCAGGTAATAAGCCACTAATAGTGAGAATTAATACTTAAACCAAAGTGTTAACATTTTTATGAAGCACCATTTGTTCAACAATTATATATTTGTTTAATGAAGCATATTGTTAACTCACAGAGCTTTTTTGCGTTTCATCTTTTCCCGTCGGCGTCTCGATGGAGTCAGAGTTGCAGAACGACAGAGGGAAGATTTTACTCAACTGTCTGCGTTCCTCAGGCATAAGACCTTCCTCCTGTATAACAAATAGCAAATTGTTGCATGAGAGGGTGCATCAACTAGTTCTGAAGGGATTTGAATGAAACTTACAAAGTCGTTAATCATTTTTGCAGCCAGCTGGTGAAGGTGTTGCACACGGATGACTGCGTTGTTGAAGAGCCGCTGGTTTTCGGAGGCTTTCCCCTGATTCACCAGCAAACTAACCACCACCAACTGCAACAGCACCAATGCTAGAAGACAACACAGATATTAACCAACGCAATCAAGATCAAACCATAATACATTCATTCATCAAAACTGTTGTTTTAAAATACGATCCAATAAATCTGAACAGTAAAAAAAGTAAAGCATGTAAGCAAAAAATAAAGCATAATGAGATATAATCATCAATGGTATGCTACAAATAAAGTGCACTACACAAAGACATACCTCTAGCCATTTTGTCCAAGATAGACAAACTCGTTCTTGATTGAAGGTTGGTAAATGTTTGTTTTTCTGGCTCAGGTGTACTGATATTTATATGTGGCATGAACGTGTTTTAGATTCATTTTATCCAGAAACATGAGATTTTTCCATGTGAGCTTTACATTAATATGCATTGTGTATTTAGACACCATAGGATAGTGTTGTGATTCCGGTCATTTATGTGTATGGCTATTTCCATGACTCCAGGATGATGTTGCCACTACACTTGCTGCCTTTTTTTTAGCATGGATTTTTAGTCGGATTAACTTTGTTTTGTTAACTTTTTTTGTCATACCCTTTTATTGTATTTTTTTCACAGAAAAGAAAAAAGAGCATTGTTTTATTGACAGAATATGATTGAAAATGTTTGTATCAATTGAAAAAGATTTAGTAACGATTAACAACTAATTTAATTTAATGGTTTTACAAATTTAAGTAAATTAAACATAAAACAATTAAGTTGTCCACCCCCCCCCCCCCAAAAAAAATGAAGAATTGTGTTGTTTAAACTCAATTTTATATAGGTAGATTGTAAAAAAAATGAAGAGTAGGGTTTACTTTTTTTCATTCAGAAAAGGCTAGTAAATCTTCAAAGTTTTGCCAAGTAAAAGACTAAACATAATTATTAGTACATTTATTTAGAAATGTTAAGTTTACTTGGGAATTGTAAGTAAATGTTATTGACTTTTTGTTTGTAAAATTTAAGTCGTACCTTTAAATATATTATAGATTAATTTTTTTATTAAATAGTCCTAGTTATCTTATTTAGTTATCCTGAGTAAACTTTACATACAAATGTTATTTTATATAATTTGTGATACATTGCAACTTGCCTTGCCAGACATTTCTATTAATTTGAATTAAACTTTACATTAAACAAGTTAAAAAGTCCCCTCAGACAGAATGATGGGGGTCATATATCAACGTTATCTCTTGCTTTTTGCTATAATAGATTGTATTGATGTTAAGATCTGTTGCATAAAGTGATTAAAGTTTTTAAAAGTTAGCCAAAACTTACAATATTGGGGGATAAATATACTAACTTCATTCATTCATTCATTCATTCATTCATTTTCTTTTCGGCTTAGTCCCTTTATTAATCCGGGGTCACCACAGCAGAATGAACCGCCAACTTATCCAGCATGTTTTTACACAGCGGATGCCCTTCCTGCCGCAACCCATCTCTGGGAAACGTCCACACACTCATACACAACGGCTAATTTAGCCAACCCAATTCACCTGTACCACATGTCTTTGGACTGTGGAGGAAACCGGAGAACCCAAAGGAAACCCACGTGAACGCAGGGAAAATATGCACACAGAAACTTCAACTGACCCAGCCGAGACTCAAACCAGCGATTCAGCGACCTTCTTGCTGTGAGGTGACAGCACTACCTACTGTGCCACTGCGTCACCATATACTAACTTGTCTTTAATAATAAAAGAACCATACCATAACCATAACCATATCCAAAGTAAAAAGTAATTTAGACATTTTAATGTACCTGGTAGTCTTCAATGAGCTCCCGAGATGATTCTCCCAGGTGGAAAAGCAGGCAGTAAATCACAGCATCTCATTTGTCTTCAACTTGCTGATTAAAACAAGAATACATTTCTGTGGTTATTTACTATTTAAACAAGCAGCAAAAGTATCTTTTTTTTTCAATTCAGGCAAGATTACATTCTTTTTCTAAAATAATTATTATATTAATTTTTAAAATATGAAACACAGGCATCACGGTGGCGCAGTGGGTAGGACAATCGCCTTACAGCAAGAAAGTCGCTGGTTCGAGCTTCGGCTGGGTTATTTGGCATTTCTGTGTGGAGTTAGCATGTTCTCCCTGTGTGCATGTGGGTTTCCTACGGGTGCTCCGGTTTCCCCCACAAGTCCAAAGGCATGTGATTTGAATAAACTAAATTTGCCGTAGTGTATGTGTGTGAATGAGTGTGTATGGATATTTCCCAGTGATGGGTTGCAGCTGGAAAACATGCTGGATAAGTTGGTGGTTCATTCTGCTGTGGCGACCCCAGATTTCTAAAGGGACTAAGCCGAAAAGAAAATGCATGAATGAAAATAAAACACTTGTTCAAACTACTTATTTAAAATGAGTGGAAACAACACAATTCTTGAGATTTCGCTGGGACAACTTAATTGTTTTATATTTAATCCACTTAAATTTGTAAAAACGAATAGGTTAACTTAATTCCTTCATGTTGACCCAACACAAATCGATTGTATGGAACCCAGCATTTTGTACAGTGTTGAAGGAACATGATCAGGTCCCTTTGAATGACCTTGTGATTTTACCTTTAACACCGTTTTGCTCCTTTGACATCCAGAATGTTCACTTAACGTGCTCAAATGTAAGTTTTCAGTTCATACTTAAGAGCTGCTTAAAATATTATTACTGTTTTTATCTGTAACATGTGACTCATTCTAGAATTGTGCGTTTTAGGCATTTTTTATTAATTTTCCATAAATTGGAATGATATACAACAAATGCAGAATGTATTAGTGTAAATTAATTTGACACATTATTAGTGTAAATTAATGCAAAATGCAATAGAGAATTGATTGTGTTACTAATTGTTACTTAATTAATCATTGAACTTTTGAAACCACGAGCAAAGTTAATTAATTACAAAGTTGACACTGTCTGCCATTTTATGCTTTAGCACAAGATACTAATCTCAAACCAGATATGGCATGGCGGGTCTAAAGCATATTTTTTATGATTTTCCTCATATTATTGTTTCTAAAACTGCATGTGAAATTTCACAATAACAGAGTTGACATATAATTAATATATATTCCAAGAGTTCAGTCAAAGCAGGGTGAATCAGCTTTCAGCTACTATGCCCCTCACTGCTGGAATCAGCTTCCAGAAAGGATCAGATGTGCTCCAACATTAGGCACATTCAAATCAAGACTGAAAACACATCTGTTTAGCTGTGCCTTTAATGAATGAGCACTGTTCTACGTCCCACAGATCTCACTATTATGTCTTTCTTTTCTTTTTCATTCAACCTGTTTTAACACATTTTAATCTGTTTTTAATCATTTTTATTATCTTTTATTTCTTGTCTTTTTTTCTTCTTGTTTATGTAAAGCACTTTGTATTGCCACTGTGTATGAAATGTGCTATATGTGCTTTATTCTAAACATTTTGCACAAATTAATGATATTAGAACAAATGAAATGCCTCAGTGCCTTTTAGAGTTTCCCGCCAGAGGAACTGACATCACTTTAAGCAAGTTACTTGCTTTATCTATCAGTATTTTGTCAACTGTTATGCCTTTTTAAAACACAGTTATCCATAATGTACACTGTAAATAATGCCCGGTTCCGCATGATTCCTTCATGTTGTTTCAACACAAATCGATTAAGTTAACTTAATTGTTTTAACAATTTCAAGTGGATTGAAGATAGAGTTGACCCCCCCCCCCACCACCAAAAAAAAAAACCCAACCAAACAAACAAACAAACAAACAAACAAACAAACAAAAAGGAATTGTTTATTTTGCTTATATTAGAAAAGTAGCAAAAAATATTTGTGTAGAAAAAAATGGTAAAATTTACTTAAAAAACAATAATTACAAATAGTAAAACAATTTGGATTTAAGTAGATTTAAGCAGCAGCAAAAATCTAATTTCTAATCTAATTATATTTAATTATTTATTGTAGAGTAATTGCTCATTTTGCTATAAATAAATAACATTAAAGGTTAAATAATGTTGAGATGTTTCTATTCTGAAAATGTCTTACCATCAATTCAGATATTTTTGTTGGATTTATTTGTCATTGACATTACGAATCAAATTAATCTGTAAACAAGTTAGTGTTGGCACAAATGTTTCATGTAATGTCTATGTAATGAGAAGACGTGTGTAATGTAACTGGTGTCATCTTCTCCCGAAAGGAAACGTTTTCAATAATTATGAGAGGATATCAGGTCATACGTGTTTGTTGTCACTGTGGGATGTGAGGGGATTTTCCTATTCAGTGCTGTTTAATATTCAGCAGTCTTGGGGTTGTGAAATGTCAGTGTGACATGAATAGTTTAATCCCTTTCACGGAAAAACAGAGAACAGTCTGTTTACCTGAATCTTAGAGCTGCTGTCACTTCAGGTTATGGCATTATAAGAGTAGCACCGTGTTCTGCAGTTGAAGTTAAATAATGAAATAGATAAAACATTACAACAAGACTACCAGTACAGAACATGGTGAATGGTACCATATTTACTACATAACAATATATATTTTGCTTATAATGTAGATAATGAATAATTGGTCACACTTTACAATAAGTCTATTAGTTGATTTATTTACTAACATGAGAATGAACAATACTTGTACAGCATTATGTCCCCTTGGAATTATAAGGTTCTATCTGCGTTCTTAATGATTTTGGGATAATGAGCTTCAAAGTTTTGGCATTCCATATAGCAGACAACATGTGTGTAACACTTCTCTTTCACACATGAACTTGACAGAGACCCCAAATCTACTCTAAATGTAAATGATTTAATTCTCTGTATAGAGAATAAATGGCTCTCTTTCTTTCTCTCTCTCTCTCTCTCTCTCTTTATATATATATATATTTTTATATATATATATATATATATACTTTATATATTTTATTATTGTTTTGACATACTAGTTCATCAAACAGTAGTGTCGTCAAAAAACAGTAGTCTTTGAATAATATACAAACCACACATCAGTTGAAAGATTATTTCATCATGTAAACTGACACTATGACTCCTATTGTGGTCCAGATTCACAAACACTGCATCATTCTTTTAGCCACATTTATCTTACCAAAAACCAGTCTGACGTTTATTTATTTATTTATTTATTTATTTATTTATTTATTTATTTATTTTTTTTGCAGAATCTGGTCTCAGATCTAATTGCCAGGAAAACACATACAGAGAGAGCGAACAGGAGAAGGTGAAAGCATTGAGAAATTGTGAGTTATATTTCCACCATGTGGTTGCAGTCAGAATGATGCAGGTTAAA